GCAGCAAGCAAGCCTCCCTGCTCGCTTCAGTGCCTGGCTGCCGGCCGCCATCTTGGCTGACAGTTAATTTGCATATACTCACTGATTAGCCAATGAAAAGGGTAGCGGTCGTAAGCCAATTACCATGTTTCTCTTTTATTAGTGTAGATGTTCCTATTGAGATGGATTGGGCTTATTTTGTAATTGCCAATTAGGTATTGTACCTGTGGATAAATATTACTTGTTGCTAGGATGAGACTGAATTCAGCTCAATTATATTTCTACTTTCATTTTTATGATATTTAAGAAACCTTATTAACATACTTAAGTAGATGGAAAAGGAGTTCTGTTGGAATAATATAACTCATTCTGTGAGCTCCTTTTACCTTAAATACATAAGTTACAGTTATCTATTATTAAAAATTATTTCAGTGATCTAGACTTTGGTAGATTCTCTTTAAACATTGTTAAAGTGAAAGAATTTAAAACCAATGGATTTGCAAATGATTTGTTATATAATCTTTAAAGGCATTTACTTTCTTAATACCTACAGCTACTGGGTTACCCAGAGATGTTTAAACCCCTGCTTTACTATACAGACCAAGTTAGGCCTTGTTCCATGAAGAGTCTTTGGGAATCCCCTTCAATATGAGAATACAACTTCACTTAGCTGGCAGGGTTTGGGGAGTCACAGCAGGGTGTTGTTGTTTTTATTATTGATTTTAGAGAGAAAGATAGAGAAGGAAGGAAGGGAAGGAAAAGGAAAAGGAAAAGAAAAGGAAAAGGAAAAGGAAAAGGAAAAAGGAAAGGGGAGGGAGGGAAGGAAAGAGCGAAACATCCATCGGTTGTCTCTCTTATGCACCAGGACTGGAATTGAACTGCAACCTGGGTATGTGCCCTGATGGGGAATTGAACCCGAAACCTTTTAACGCTTCAACCAACTGAGCCACACTGGCCAGGGAAGGATTTTGAAATTTAATAAATCTCTATTAATTTCCCCATAACCATGTTTGTTTATTAGTCCATCATGAAAATTCAGGTGTGGTTGTCATCAAACACCTATGACTAACAGCCTAGGACTCTGAAACCATATCATGAGTTTTATGAAAATTAGATTTTCAATAAAGAAAATGGTCCAAATATGACTAAAGTTCTCTCCATTACTCCCTTACCTCTTAGATACTCTGTACTGTGCTGTGGTCAATTTTCCAGTCTCAGGGTCATGTACTGTAGCTCGGCTCAGCTACAAAAAAAGAGAAAGGACAAGCACTTACTCACGTAGCAGGCAATTTTGGACTTTTGTTTTATTTTGTTTTGCCAAGCCACAGGTGATTGGAAGGGTTCAGATTGGTCTGGATGGTAGGTAATGGTTTCAAATCAACAAAAACATTTAGAAAGGTGGCAATTAGAAAAGCCACTTCCAAATCAAGAGAAAATGAGTTGACAAATTTTTGTTGTGTATTTATTGTCCTTTCACTTTTTTTAAAAAAAATCATTTGAAGCTGTATGTAAATGACTTATATAGCACTGGGTTTCACAGGAACTTTCTCAAATTTAGAAGTTTAATGTTCTTTAAATATCATAACAAAAGAATAATTAGTAGTCTCTTTGAATTCATTTTTTTAAACTCTCACCAAGACAAAACTGTTGTTAAGTCTCTCTGGCAAAATAAAAGGCAACTAAATTCACAAGTAATAGCAATTGGAAGAGAAATCAGAAAAATAACTCTGTTCTTTCCATCGCCAACTTTTAAGTCAGCAAGGTTTTTAAAATAAAAACTCCAACAGGAGGAATACAGATTACTCCAAAATGACAATGGTATTTTACAAGACGTATGAACAAATGCCAATACAATCACCATGAAGGCTGATGTAAATTCACAGCAGCATTTATGAATGTTAAGAGAGCTGCATAAACAAAGACTGCTGCTTTTGCTTTTTCTCCCCCTTGGCAAGAAAAGGGAAAAAGAAAACAAGTATCAAGCCATTTTTTGGATATTTAATTCCTGACCAGAACAGAGATGCAATGCCTATTAATTCCCTAAAAATAACAGACCAATTAAAAATTAAAAACAGAACTTCTAGTTAATGGGAAAGACCTGTGAAACACGAATCAGTTTATCCATGTGTATATAAACAGGCGGTGACTGGAGCTGGAGACTGAAAATGACCTACTTCCTTGAAATGAATAATTCCTGTAGGATGTACAAAACACTCATTAGAGATCAAAATATGCAGCATACACATCTCTTACCTTTTGCTAATTCTGTAATGTACCGTCTCCAAGTCTCCTGTTATTGGATTTGAAATGGTGGCTCGCCTCAGCTGTGAAGCCAACCATCAAAATACTTGCATTACAAAACAAAAATGTATCACATTTACCCAACCAGTCAGAATTCTAGGATTTTTTATAATGGAAGCTGAAAAGAGAAAATAGCTCCATAGACTTCCAATCACCTTGTGTTGAGCTTTGAAAGCCCATGTGTTTTTTTAGGTTTTTATATATTTTTAAAGTTATTTTAAAAAATGTTTTGTTTTGCATAAATAGAGGGTACTTGAAGAAAAGAGATTAAAAATTTAATTTCTCTCAATGGTTAGAGCATGTGACAGTGAGAAAAAGAGAAATTTCTAAAATTTGAAGTCTAATTTATAGTTATAAAAATGGTTATTTGCAATTAATGATCCATTCCAAACTTCTGACTTTAATTTTTTTTAGTGATACTATTTCACAAAGGTTAATGTTCAAAATTTATTTCAAGGTCCATCTTTTCTTCCTTCAAGATATCTGCTCATATATTTCACTTATACTGTGAAATAATCTTGGACTGAGCACAATGCAAATGAAAAGAACTCATAAATGTAAAAATCATTTAAAAAGATGACAGTCGAGACAATGACTTTACACTTTTTTTTTTAAAGGAGGATGATTCTGAGGTTATCAAAACAAATATGAAATTCTTACTGCCACTGAATCTGTTGACATATTAAAAATAAAACCACTGAGGCATCCCTTTGGAAGACTTTGGCCTCCATACCTAGAGACATAAGACAATCTCCAGGATGAAATGAACTCTTTATAAATATTCTACCAAGATACTTTAGTTTACTGGGCTTATTGACTACAAATTATGGACTACAATAGAAATCTTGGACTACAAGAGAATGATAGAATATTATGTAATTATTAAAATAATAGAAATTTTTAAGGATTCACTTGTAAAGCAACCATATTTATTAGATTGCCTTTTCCATTTAAAATGTAATCTTTGGTAAAAAAACAAAAACAAAAAGTAGCAATTTGGAAAAGCAGTAAAACTTAACAACAACAATTCTAACTCTGTCATTCTGCAGTACAACTATCCAGATAATTCAATCTTTACGATATAACTAGGATCAGCAAATGATGCCATGGGCCAAATTCAGCCGGCCACCTGCTTTTGGAAATGAAGTTTTATTGGAATATAGCCATACTCATTATATGCTATGGCTGCCTTTGAACTACAACAGCAGAGTTGAGTGGTTTTGACAGACTGTATGGCCTGCAAAGCCTAAAAAGTATTTACTATCTGGACCTATAAAGAAGAAATTTGATAACTCCTGTGTAATAAAAGAGCAAAAATATGCCGTGTGTATTAAATAATCTCTTTATGAAAGTAATGGCAGTTTGTACTTTACAATGAAGACTAAACATGTTTTAAAAACAAGCTGATGGTAAAAATAAATAAGTAAATAAGGCAACAGCATAAAGGGCAGTCTTTCTCATATTCTCACAAAAGAAGAATTTCTACACTAAACACTAAGTTTATAGGATTGCATTTACATTAAATTATTTTTCTTATTAAGATAAATGATGTAGGTTGAAGTCAGAAAGCTATGATGTTATTACTTCAAATCAGCCTGATGCTTGTGCCTAACTATATATTTCCAGTAATAATGTGCCTAAAAAGGAATAAAAATACTTTAAATATTCTTTCAGATAAAAATAATAGAAGAATGAAAAAGTTGATTTTTGATTAGTCTCTGAGACTAAAGGGCTCCAAAGTACTTAGAAAACTTTTCAGGAGGATGCTGAAACAAATTTGTTAAGTGTGAAATAAAAATCTCATCTATTATTTTCCTAAGAGTTTAAAATCTATTTCCATATAATGCTATTAAACAATGTCACCCCAATAAATTTAATTTTTAAAAAACCAATTTGCAAGATATATTATTTGTTTTGATAACAAACTAAGGAAAAACTGGTATAAATACAGTTTAGTTAACAACTCCATTATGATGTGGTGATGATATCTAAAACTATCTGTGGGGTTAGTGCCATATCAATGATCTTTCTTGTAATCTTACAAAGGAAAAACTGATACACAGTTATATAAATTAAGAGGGGGAAAAAAGTTATTTACCCTTGGTTTTGCTAGATCTTTGACAATTTCAATTTCTGCATCAGAAATAATATCATGGAAGCGAATAATACGAGGCTTGTCCCACTCATCCTCCTGTTTGGCTGGAGCCAGAATAAATTTAGGATTCCGGTTTCCATCATGGTAGCGGCAAAAGAGTTTTTTCTGTCTCCGAGGAGTCTAAACATAAAGTTAAAAAGATGATAAATATATTAGAGTAATAATATTTTTAATGCTTGTTCCTATGCAGATAAGAAATAGTAATCATGTTCATGAATACACAAAGTTATCTGCAGAAGACAACCAAAAAAACCAGTTCTTTACAAATACTTTGCATCAAACAGGACCTTCAGGATTTTTTTTTAAATATACATTTTTATTGATTTGAGAGAGGAAGGGAGAGGAAGAGAGAGAGAGAGAAACATCAATGATGAGCATCATTGATCGGCTGCCTCCTGCACACTCCCTACTGGGGATCGAGCCTGCAACCCGGGCGTGTGCCCTTGACTAGAATCGAACCCAGGACCCTTCAGTCTGAGGCCAACACTCAATCCACTGAGTCCAACCAGCTAGGAGAGGACCTTCAGGATTTAAAATTTTTTATTAATGATTATTTTCTGGGAGAGAGATGGTAGACCTTAAGAAAAAAGGTAGGGTTTTTTTACCCTCCTCTCATCAAAATAAAGTTCAGTTGTTATAAATATGAAATAAATGTTTATGGAAATATGAAATAAATTATCAGCATTGCTCTAAACTTCCCAAAGTAACTGGACAACATTCTGAAAGAAAAAGTTTCTAAAAGGAAAACAAAACAAAAACAAAATACCTAACCAGGTTTTGATAAAAAAACAAAAACAAAAACAAAAAACTCTCAGTTAAATGCTTATGGCCAAAAAAAATTTTTTTAAAGGTTGGTTTCTTTTAAAGCCAAGATAAAAATGGGTAGCTCTAAACAAGAGAAAATAAGTTATTAAACTAAGAAATCAGGTGCTTTTATTAGTGGGTATTTAAAATAGAGTGGACAACAAAGCAAATAAAAGTTTCTTTCAATCACCTATGTAGTATTAATAATTAAGTTAATGCATTGCTGATTGTTCTCTTGATTAAACAAGTATGACATATATGAAGTAGGAATAATATTAGTTTTAATTATTAGTTAACATACTAAAACAATGATTCATGTTTATTCTCCATGTACTTTATTTACCTAAAATAAAATCCAAAGTTTCATATCAAATAAATGTTTTACATAATAATGATATGAACTTATTCTGAGAAAAAGAATGCTCCTTTGATCTTGGGCAGGTCTGGCATGTGTGTGTCACATTAACAAACCGACAAATTAGCAGACTAATGTTTTATACTTATAGATCTATTTTGCTCTCTTCTTTAAGAGTTATTAAGAGCAATAAAACACATGTGCTGTCCTACCCTTTTTGGCTCAGTGAACAGAGCGCCGGCCTGCAGACTGAAGGGTCCCAGGTTCGATTCTGGTCAAGGGCACGTACCTCGGTTGCAAGCTCCTCCCTGGCCCAGGCTCGTGCAAGAGGCAACCAATTGATGTGTCTCTTTCATATCGATGTTTCTCTCTGTCTTTCCCTCTCTCTTCTACTCTCTCTAAAAATCAATGGAAAAATATTCTTGGGTGAAGATTAAAAAAAACAAAAACAAACATGTACTATTTGAAATTTGAATACTTAACTAGATTTTGATGATATAATGGAACCATTGTGAATTCTTTTAGGTGTGATAATGGTATTGTGGTTATTTTTTTAACAGTCCTTATTTATAAAATATACTAAAATATTTAGATGTAAATTTTTTAAAAATGTTTCATGAGTCTAGCAAAGTGTTATAATCCTTGTCTTTACTATTAGCTCCCAAAGAAAGAGTAGACTTGTTCTTCCAAGTCTTCATCAACTTAAAACACCCAAAGGTGTCAACAAAAATATGATCGACTTTTTGCTGTTAGAGGTTATACTATCAACAGTAAATCATCAAATATCAAAAAGTTATCAATACCAAAACATAAAGCCCCTCCTGAGTTTATCAGTAGTAGAGAAAAAGTTAAACACTACGTATTCAAATGTTTACACTTAAAAATACTTACTTTGAAAATTCACTAATACACTTCCTCCCACTTATGCTCACCTTCAACTGAACACTAGTACCTTAAGAGAGGGTTCCATTACCAGTTAATGTTGGGAAGCAATGTATACCATATCCAGAATGCACAGTAACATAAAAGGGCTCTGAAAAGTACTGAGGCTGAACAAAAACCTATGTTTCCCAGACTTGAATGCTTTTGTTTTTGGCCTATTATCTAGAACCATCCTAAAGTACAGTACTCTAAGTTACAAATGCATAAATATAAGTACACAATAAACAAAGGGATATTTATAGACATATTTTATTATTTTAAAGAAAAAATAAAGCCAAAATCTCTTAAAAGTCTTTCTGAATTTTAAATATTTCTGAAATAGACAAATGTTTCACTAAACAATCCCGACAAGGTAGAATAGGAGCAAAACCGCAAGAGATCATTGTATAGATGAATGCATTGTTTCAGAGGATAGATTAGGAAGGGATATTATTTCTATTTAAGACTGCTGAAATCTCTTTTGCATTAAGTTATAAGAAGCCCTGGCTGGTGTGGCTCAGTGGCTGGAGTGTCGTCCCATGCACCAGAAGGTTGTGAGTTCAATCCCAAATCAGGGCACAAACAGGAGGCAACCAATCAATGTATCTCTCTCACATAAATATTTCTCTCTCTTTCTCTCTCTCTTCCCCTTCCTTCCTCTCTAAAACCAATATTTTTTAAAGATATAAGAAAAAAACTTTATCACTTCCCTTGTATTATCAGATCCTTCACCTTTTAATCTATGAAAAGGGTAATATTACCAAAATTGCATGAATGGTGTATGATTCACAGGCTTTATTTTAAAGCTATTTTATTAACACTTGGAGCATTTTGTGTGAGCCTCACAATAAGGTGATGTGGCACACTATAACACTTTATGCAGTAATTCTGATTTTTATCACATAGACTTAAATATAAAAGAACTTGATTCTCTCTAGAGCTTTGTACAAACACACACACACACACACATACATTCACACACACACAATTGGCTTTTCCACTTTACCATTTTGATACCCTCCCCACGGCACAGCATTTCGTACTTCTGTCTCTCTGGCAGGTAATCCGCAGCAACCCCTTTTTTCTTCAGCGTGGTTTTCTGATCAGATTGGTCATCTGAAGCAGATTTATTGGCATCTTTTTCTTTAGCCATTATATACTCAAAATATTTTAAGTTACCATTAGCTCTCTGATGGTCAGGATCTATTAGAAGAGAAAGAGCACACCCATGAATAAGCTTATTGTTGTGCAAACATCAGAATACAGTAATATAAAACAGAGGGCCATATAATTTACCTTCCAAACCAGTATGCTTCCGAGAGTGAAAGAAGGCACTAGTAAAAATTATTATGCCAAACAACAGGTGTAAACCAGTACTGCCCCAAGTAAAGCAGGACATACAGTCACCCTATACCGAGTTCTAGAGACAAAAGTGGCCTTTTTTTTTTTTTTTCAAAGTAGCAATTACTGCTTCTACTTTGAGAACTTACTAATTAGCCAAAGGAACTATGTCTGATCATTGTGGTGTCAAATGAATTTTTAAAATTTCTCTTTTTTTCAGCAATGGAAAAGATGTTTTCTGAGACTGAAATGTAATTATGATGGGGAAGACACTGTGTAAGTTCAAAAGCAACCTTTACCACAGATAAATTATAAATGTAGAACACAGCCTACTTCTGAGGGCTGAGTGGATTTTAGCCCCAAAATTCTAAATGAGACAGAAAACAGAAACTAAAGATGTAATTTTCAAATAAGCCGGAATCCACTAATTACCTCTGAATTGCTAGTCATAATTTTTAGCTATGTCTCAGTAGGGGAAAGAGGACTTACTCCACCCATCCAGGAGGAAAAACCACCACCACACACACAAATAAAAGCGGCAGAAGAGTTTGTAGAAACTTCACTTGTGACGTTAGTTGACATATTTAGGAAATCTAGTCTTATTTCTAAAACATTCCTTGTCTTTGAGAAACTGCTCCCAATATATGTTGTGGTATACAACATGAGCCTCATTTTGTAAAAGAAAGGGAAAAGTGTGTGTGTGAAGGGGGTATATACAACAAGGAAACAAAAAAAGTTTGTAGGTGTCTTTGGGTGATTGGCTTATGGATGACTTCTATATCTTTTTCTATTTATAAAACTTTCCTACAATGAAATATATCCTAAGAAACGAGAAACACCCATCAGAAAGAATGTATGCACCCCTATTGCATAGCAGCACAATTTACAATAGCTAAGATCTGGAAACAGCCCAAGTGCTCATCAGTACATGAGTAGATAAAAAAAACTGTGGTACATTTATATCATGGAATACTATGCAGCAGTAAAAAAGAAGAATCTCTTACCCTTTGAGATAGCATAGAGGGACCTGGAGAGTATCATGCTAAGTGAAATAAGTCAGTCAAAGAATGACAAGTATCACATGATCTCACTCAGATGTGGACTCTAAGTAACAAAATAACCTGATGAATGGAGTGGATCCAGAGACATGGAAGCATGGAACAGAGTGCAGAATCTCAGAGGGAAGGCGGGG